AAAGAAAATATATTCAAACTACTTCATTCGTAACAAGAGAAGTGGATATAAATACTGCGCTGAGATACCATTATAACACTATGTTGTTAAAAGTGTAGGGAAACAAGAACTCTTATAAATCACTTGTAAGGGTGCAAATTAATGAATCCTCTAAAAAGAATATTGACAATATCTGTAGGTATTAAAGATGTACATAAAGACGTACCTTTGGGTTTTTTGGTTTGTTTGAGATGGAGTCCCTCTCTGTTGCCCAGGCTAGAGTGTGGTGGCGGGATCTTGGCTTACTGCAGCCTCCACCTACCTGGTTCAAGCGATTCTCGTGCCTCAGCCTCCTGAATAGCTGGGACTATAGGTACACACCACCATGGCCAGTTAATTTTTGTGTATTTTTAATAGAGACAGGGTTTCACCATATTAGCCAGGCTGGTCTCAAACTCCTGACCTGAAGTGATCCTCCGGCCTCCGCCTCCCAAAGTGCTGGGATTATAGCCATGAGCCATCACACCTGGTCAAGATATACCTTTTGGTTAAACAGTTCTTTTTTCTTGTTTGTGTGTGTAACTGGGTCTTGTTCTGTTACCTGGGCTTGTATGCAGTGGTGTGATCGTGGCTCACTGCAGCCTCGATCTCCTGGGCTCAAGCTATCCTCCCACCTCAGCCACCTGAGTAGCTGGGGCTACAGTTGCATGCCACCATGGCCCACTATATTCAGACTGAGGCTATATATTAGTATACTGAGGCATAACATTAGTTGCTTCCAGGGAGGGCAACTGGGTACTAAGGATGGGTGGGAGGCTTTTCAATGTATATGCTTTTGTAACCTTGAGTTTTTAAATTATTTAATGTATCGGTTATTCAAAAAAGACATAATTAAAATTTTTTGAAAAGAGGAAGCCCATCACCCCATCACTACAACTCCATGCCTTAAAAATATTGGAGGTTGGCCGGGCATGGTGGCTCATGCCTGAAATCCAAGCACTTTGGAGGCCAAGGCGGGCGGATCACCTGAGGTCAGGAGTTCAAGACCGGCCTGACCAACATGGTGAAACCCTGTCTTAATAAAATATATATATATATATATATATATATATATATATATATATATATATTGGAGATTGGCCAGGCATAATGGCTCACATATGTAATCCCATAATCCTAGCACTTTGGGAGATGAAGGCAGGAGGATTTCTTGAGGCCAACAATTCCAGACCAGCAGGGACAACATAGCAAGACCCCCAGGCTGGAGTGCAATGGAGCCATCTGAGCTCACTGCAACCTCTGCCTCAACTGTTCAAGTGATTCTTCTGCCTCAGCCTCCCGAGTAGCTGGGACTACAGGCACATTCTACCACGCCCAGCTGATTTTTTTTTATTTTTAGTAGAGACAGGGTTTCATCGTGTTAGCCAGGATGGTCTTGATCTCCTGACCTTGTGATCCGCCCACCTCAGCCTCCCAAAGTGCTGGGATTACAGGCGTGAGCCACCATGCCTGGCCTCTACAGAACTGTTTTAAAAAATAGTTGGCCGGGCGCGGTGGCTCACGCCTGTAATCCCGGCACTTTGGGAGGCCGAGGCGGGTGGATCACGAGGTCAAGAGATCGAGACCATCCTGGTCAACATGGTGAAACCCCGTCTCTACTAAAAATACAAAAAATTAGC